TTCTGCAAACTTGTTTGCCCGTCTGCATGGCTTACTCTGAGCAACTTCTTCCCGGCCAGACACAGCAGAGCTGGAGGAATCTCTCCTTGCCTCTCACCCAGCGATTCCCCACCTGAATTACCTGCTCTTGTTCGCACAGGGGGCAGAGACAGCGGCCGGGGATACCCCCCAGGGCCTGGCCGCACTACAGCTGGATGGACTGCCCTCTGGCGACCTCGACGGGCTGGTGCCCACGCGTGATGAGCGTGGCCGGCCCATCCCCGAGTGGAAGCGGCAGGTGATGGTGCGGAAGCTGCAGGCACGCCTGGGCGCGGACCCTGCCCGGGAAGCTCAGGTGGGGCTGGGCCAGTGGGATGGGGAGAGAGGGGCGGAGCCAGGAGGGGAGGGGTGGAGCCAGAGGATAGAGGACGGGTGGGGGCGGGGGCAGGGGCAGGGGCAGGGTAGGGGCTGGGCGGGAGCTTTGTCCTGGCAGGTGAACATGGAAGGTGGGGTCCTGAGGCAGAATGGGTTGGCCCAAGGGAGGACCAGGAGGAGGCAGGAGTGGAGCGAATGAGGGACAATGGGCAGAGGTGAGGTCAGAGAAGGGACAGCAGATATTACAGGACCTCTCGCTGCAAGGCCTCAGGGGAGCCTTTGGAAGTCTGAGCGGAGCCGTGGCCGGTTGCTCAGTGGTTAGAGCGTCCGCCCGCGGACCCAAGGGTCACGGGTTCATTCCACGGGTCCATACAGGGCACATACCTCGGTTGGGGTTGCATGTTCGGTCTCTGGCCCTGGTCAGGCTAGGTTTAGTGTGTCACTCTCACATCGATGTTTCTCTCTCCCTGTCTCCTCCCTCCCTTCCACTCTGTCTGAAAATCAATGGGAAACTATCCCCTGGTGAGGATTAAAAAAGAAAAGAGAATCTGAGCAGAGAAGGGCTGTGGTTTGAGGTGGACTTGGGCAGGCTCCCTCTGCCTGCCGTGTGGACAGTGGTCCTAGAGGCCTACCCTGGAGGGACACGGTTTTGTCTGAATGAGGTGCTCTGCACCCCTTGCCGTGGAGCAGCCCCTGCAGAACAATAATACCCGTCACGTGCGGCTATTTCAGTTCATTAACAGGAAATAAACGTCAAAGCCCCTCCCAGAACCGTGGCCCCTCCCTGCCCACGGGCTCCTGAGCTAAATACCCACTGACTGGCTCTCAGAACCTGGTGCAGAGCGTGCCTGGCACCAGATAGTTTAGGCCTCTTGACAGCCAGGCGGTAGCTCACCTGTGAAATGGGCGCCTCCCCCAGGGGTTCTGAGAGGTAATCAAGAGGCCCGGCCTGGACCCAGAGGGAGCCCAGCTCAGGGTCCCTCCGTGTCTGTCCCCCGAAGACTGTGAGCACTGGGGCAGGGAGGGACAGGGGTTCTGGGGTGAACCATCGGGAGAACCCAGAGCAGAGTGGCTGAGGCTGCTGCCCTCCAAGGCCGCCCTCCATCACAGAAGGCTCTGGAGTTTGGCGGGAGGAGCAGGAGGGCTCTGAGGAGAGAGATCCTTGCATTAAACATTGGGCAGATGAGGGGGAGAGATTAGGCAGAACAGACACCCACCTTCTTTGAAGGGGAAGGCTGGGCCCCCACAGGGCTGGGAGACTGCCCTGAGCTTCAGTCCAGGCAAGAGCCAGCTGGTGTCCAGGGCTGGGCTCCCCAGGGGCACCGGGAGCAGGCCACCTCAGGGAGCTTGAGTCCAGCAGGAAGGAGCATGCCCTCCCAGCACCCGCTGACCGGCCCTCCCTGTGCCCAGGAGGACAGCGGGAGCGCGGGCCCCACGGAGCAGGCAGCCTGGCGGTACTCGCAGACCCACCAGGCCATCCTGGGCCCCTTCGGGGAGCTGCTGACGGAGGACGACCTGGTGTACCTGGAGAAGCAGATCGCCGACCTGCAGCTGCGAAGGCGCTGCCAGGAGTACGAGAGCCAGCTGGGCCAGCTGGCGGCAGAGCTGCAGGCCCTGCTGCCCGAGCCCCTGGTTAGCATCACCGTCAACAGCCACTTCCTGCCCCGGGCACCAGGGCTGGAGGGTGAGGAAGCCCCCGGCCCGGCGCCCGAGCCCTCGGGCCCTGAGGTGGCCGTGGAGGCCGTGCCCGGCGGGCAGCCCCTGCCCTTCTGGTGCAGCCATGTGGCACGGCTGGTGCGAAGCATGTCGCTGCTGCTGAAGGGCATGAACGGGCTGGTGCAGGGTGAGGAGAAACCGGCCGTGCAGCCCCCCCAAGAGGCCAGCAGGGAGGCCCCGGCCAGCCCCCCACAGAGCGAGGCCCAGCGTGAGATCCAGGAGTGCGGGGTGTCTGTGCGGACGCTCCGTGGCAACTTCGAGTCGGCCCCCTGCCTGCCCTGCATCCCAAACCTCGGACCCTGTGAGGCAGGGGCCCCGCCTGGGCAGTGCCCCAGAGGCTGCTGGCCCGCCCCCCCGCAGCCCCGGGGCAGCCCGATCGGAGGGGAGCCCGGGCCGGGCGACACCGAGGAGGCCAGCGACTCAGGCATCAGCTGTGAGGAGGCCCCGTCGGAGGCGGGTGCCGGGCACAGCCCTGACCTGGCCAACCTGCGGAAGGAGCGCATCGTCATGCTGTTCCTCAGCCACTGGAAGAAGTCGGCCTACACGCCCGCGCTCAAGACGGCTGCCTGCCGGACCCTGGAGGCCCGCCGCGCTGGGCCGCGAGGGCAGGTGGTGGCCAGGGCTCCTCCGCCGCCCTCCCTGCCGCCCAGCGAGGGCCCTCGGCTGGGCCACCTATGGCAGCAGCGGACCATCATCACCCACCTGCTGGGCAACTGGAAGGCCATCCTGGCGCACGTGCCCGCCCGGCAGCTGCGGCGGCTGAGCCGGCGGCCCCAGGGCCTCCTGTCTCCCGAGCAGTTCCTGCCCCACGTGGACGGGGCGCCCGTGCCCTACGGCAGCCTCACGCTGGACCTCTTCATGCTGGGCTACTTCCAGCTCCTGGAGTGCGACCTGCCCGCCGAGGAGAGAAAGATGCGCCACCTGCTCTGCTTCGAGGTCTTCGAGCACCTGGGCGCCCACGGCTGGGAGGCCGCGCGGGCCTTCCACAAGGCCGTGACCGACGAGGTGGCCTCCGGCCGCCGGGCCTGGACCGATGGCTTCGAGGACATCAAAGCCCGCTTCTTCGGCGCCAACCGCAGTCCCGCCTGGGACGCTGAGCCTGGCCGCAAGTCAGGCCTGACCCCTCTCGGGCCCCCGCCCCACACCACCAGCCCCAGTGGCGGCCCCGAGCCCGCAGCTCAGCGGCTGGGGTCCGGCTCCCAGCGGGGCAGCTTCAACAGCGAGGACATCTGCGGTTACATCGACCGAAGCTTCGCCTTCTGGAAGGAGAAAGAAGCCGAGATGTTCAGCTTCGGAGATTGAGAGGGCCGGCAGCCCCTTCCGAGGGCCCTGGGGTGGTTTCGGTTCTCTCTCCTCTTGTCCTTTTTCATCCACCTGGTGGCCAGGTGAGCCCGCCAGGCAGGCAGACACTCAGCGTGCTAGCGCCCTCCAGGCCTGCCCTGAATCCTTCCTCCTCGGCTCTGGGCTCAGCCTCAGAATCCTTCTCACCACCGGCCCAAAGAGGCCTCTCCGCTCTGCTCTCCTTCGGCCCCAAAGTTGACCAACTCCTGTCCCAGCCCCAGGTCCCTCTGCCCGACTGTCCCCTGCGCACCTGGATGCCAGCCCATGTTCTCGTGGGTCCTCCTCCCAGTGCCTGCGTGTCCTGCCCCTCGGTTTCTCCGGGGCTGGTGGCCCTGCAGGGTCCGGCCTCGGTTTCTGCTGCTGAGCTCAGGCTGCCCCTCCACGTCCCCTGGCCTCTCTTTCTGGGAAATGCGAGAGGAGCTGGGGGGTGGAGGGTGGAGAGAACAGGAGCCAATGGCAGAGGCCTTCCTGTCAGAACTGCCCTCGGAATTCCCCGGCTCAGGGAGGTGCTCACACGGGTGCATACCGGTCACCCGCAGCCACCCGCCGACACACGCACCCACCCCGGGAGTCCCAGGGGGCCTGGTTCCCTGTGGGGCTCCTGTCCTCAGGTTGACAGCCCCGCCCACGCCACGTGGCCCAGGCAGCAGGGACGGCTGTGATGCAGGCAGTGGCTGAAAAGGGCTCTGAGCAGAGAGGGGCACTGCCCCGCCCTCAAAGGTGAGCTGCCAGATCCAGAGAACTTGTGGGGGGCAGAGGGCACAGTAGCCTGGCCGCGATGAGGTTCAGCCTCTCCTGTGGCCGCCCAGGTGTCACTCACACCCTTCTCCGTGAGAAGCTGAGAAAGGGGGTAGGTCCCCCCAGGGAGCCTCTGGTGAACAGAGCATCTCATAAACAGGTGGTGCGGACGAGCCCCGAATGGTTTGTCCGGGCCCCAGGGCAGCAGGATGATGGGCCCAGGCTGTGGGGTTTGCCCAGGGGACTTGGGGAGGGTTTCCTGCAGCTCTTCCACAGCCCCAATAGGCGGTGTGTGGGGAGGGGCCTCAGGACTTCCTCTGGCTGCCACCTCCCTGCAGCCAGGCCCCTGACCGACAAGCACAGCAGACGAGTCGGATGGAACAGCCCTCCCAGCCAGCCCACTCGGGGTCCCACAGGGAGAGACACCTGGGAGATGTCGTCGGAGTGTTGGGCGGCCAAGGCTGCCAGGCCCGGAAAGAGGACACAGATTTGCTGAATAAAGACTCCCATTCCTGGCTGGTCTTCACGCTGTGCTTGCTGCCCCGGGGAGAGCGGCCTGTGCCCAGAGCGGGTCCCAGCTCTGGGTGGGCACCAGGACCCGAGTCCTCATCTCGGCGTCACCATCCTTACCCCGCAGAGCCTCCGCTTCCTCCTCTGCAAACGGGTGCAGCACTGACCTGCCCTCCCAGGGTCACAGTCAGGGCAGACTGAGGTCCTGTGTGTGTGGGGGGGGGGGGGGAGGGCTCTGTCCTGAGACCACAGTGACACTTGCCCACCTGAGGTCATTATTCAAGGAGCAGGTTCCAATGAGCAGAGCGCCAACCCTGGGCTCCCACAAACACCTCCACGCTGCTTCCCAGCTCTTGGCCCCAAAGCATGTCTGATGGAACCAGATGGGAGCTGCCTGGGGCTGCGTGAGCCCCGGGGGGGGGGGGATCCCAGGAAACGTGGGCATTCGATGACTCCATCCCTGTGCTGCCTGCAGGAACTCGTTGTTCTAAGGGCCGGGCAACAGAGGGGCCAGGATGTGGGGGGTGGTGGACAAGGCCTGGCCGCAGAGGTGGTCTTCTGGCTCAGGTGCTCAGGAGAGCACTGGGCAGGGCCCAGGACACCTCACTGGGACATCCCTGCCCACTCGCTGTGTCCTGGGGCAAGTCCCTCCGCCTCTGGACCGAAGTTTCCCAGCAGGGGTTTGGACCAAGGCCAGCAGGGGGTGCCTCACAGCATCCTGGGTTCTGGGAGGACATGGGGTCGGGGTGGGCTGCCAGGAGAGGGGTGAAGTGGAGGCTCACACCCAGGTTTGCGGCCTGGAAGGAGGGAGAAAGCGCCTCAGTAGACACCCTGCTTCCTGGGGGTTTATATGAACGTGTTGTTCTGGGGCAGCCCCGCCCGTTCTGAGCCCCTCGGCCTCGGCTGGTGCTGGGAGAGCTGGTGCTTTTCACAACGTTCCAGGTGACTCTGATGCTCAGCAGCCTGAGCCCCGGCCCACTAGCAGCTCTTGTGTGGGGAGCAGGGTCCCCTGCAGCAGACACTGGCCCGATAGGGCCCGTCTGCAGACCTCAGAGCCCCTGCCCACACGGCAGACGTCAGTGAGGTGACCAGACCCAGAACAAGGTGAACCCCAGGGCTTCCCGGTGAGTTAGAAACACACGGGAGAGAGGGAGCCCTGTGCTCTCGCTGGCCGTAAGCGTGTGCAGGGCGCATAGAAGAAAACCACTGCCAGAGGCAGTGAGAGAATATCCCTCCTCGTGGCCGGATGAACCCGGCACCTGTGCACCGATGCGCGGGTTCAACACAAGCCCACCTTTCCCCAAGAAGGCCCCAGCTGCCCTAGCCGGGTGTGCAGTGGTTAGAGCGTCATCCTAATACACCAGGGTGGTAGATTTGGTCCCTGGTCAGGGCACGCAGAAGAATCAACCAAGGGTCCGGCTAGCCTGGCTTGGTAGTTGAGCGTAGACTTATGAGCAGTTCGATTCCTGGTCAGGGCAGAAGTGACCTTCCCAGTCTTGATATCAAGTAGGTCTCAAGACTCCCACCTTCGCTGCTCCCGTCTCCGGGGAAACCTCTGCCGTTCTGGGAGCAGCCCTGTGCAGAGGCCCGTGTGTGAGGAACGGAGGCCACCGGCCCCGTCCAGCCTTCGGTGCCTGCTTGGTGCCAGCAAAGAGATCCTGAAGGAGAACCACCCACAAACTGTGAGAGATCATTAATGTTTGTTGTTTTAAGACACTAGGCTGTGGGGTCATTTGTTATGCCACAGCAACAAACACATACAACCGACAAGGAAATTTCAGATGGGAAGAGATCGTAATTATGGAGCAATCGTCCGTCCAACCAGCTGGTTCTGACCCCAGAAAACAGTCCCTCGGATCCACAGACCAGAGGAAGGTGAGACACCTCCCCCAGAAGGCTCTGCCCTGAGATACACATGCTGCAGCACGTCCTCGGGAAAGAAGGGAGTGTCCATAATAGTCCCGAGGACGTTGTCAGCTAATTGGGGGGGATGACCTATGGCCCCGTGCCCCAAATAAATCCCAGACGGAATAAGATACCCTGAGCAAATAAGGCCGTAAGACGCCGGCAGAGGGGGTGGGAGGGCCTGGTTGCGCCAGGAGAGGCTCACGGCATGCAGGCGCCAGACAAGCACAGGGACAGTGATACCTCCCGCGAGACAGTGCGTCACTCGCCCACACGGGGCGACCCTGGGCTGCAAGGTGAGCACACTTAACTTGGTGGTCTCGCTCTCCGAATCTCCCCCAGGAAGTAATCAGAGGTGGCACTATGCACCCAATCGAATCTGTTCAGTGAGGTGACTGGACAGCGCCTCCAGCTTCCTAAGGTGTGGTGGGTCCCTATGAGGATGAGAGTTAAAATCAGGCTTTCCAAAGACCGCTCCCATCAGCAGTGCTTGCGACGTTAGTGACCACGCCGGGCTCAGGCACCTGCCCGCAGCCACTCTAATGACAGAGGAAGGCGGAAAGGGCAGGGGCCACTGTGTTAACGGGGTTGTCTGACTGGCTGCATTTTCTGCTTTATATTTTTCTGTGTTTTCCAAATTCTCCACAATAAGCATGTGTGGTTTTTGTCATGAAAAGAAACCAGCAACGTATTTTTAAAAATGGGCACCACCGAGTGGTGATCTGTTGATGAGGATCTGGTTTGAGCCCTGGTATCGAGTTTCCCAAACTGACCTGTCATTCAAGGGGCTGGGCCTCCATGTCCCGGGAAGGTCTCCATTTAGTGCCCAAGCTGGGCGGCTCTGGTGACAGCAACCTCTCATCAGAACCCTGTCCTCACTTCCTCCAGCGTTAGCCCTGGTGTTCTGCCTGCAAACAGGGAGGTGAGGGGTGGTGCCGGCACACACTGAGTTCTCTGTTTCCGCTCCACCACCATCCCCTTCCATGCTAATGCCCAAGGCTGGGGGGAGTCCTGAAACTGTCCAGGGCTATGGCTGGGCTGCGCTGGGCTGAGTTTGGGTAGTCTGCGCTGGGCCGTGCTGGGCTGAGGAGGGCAGCATAGATCCAGGAAACCTGTGAGTGAGCGAGTGTAGACGCGCCCAGGGAACATGTGTTAGCTAATCACTCATTGCAGTCGTTGTGGAGCAGCTGTGCCTCCCACTGGACGGCACGCACCCTGAGAGCTCACAACCATCTCCTCAGCAGGCAGCAGGGCCAGCAGCCGTGCCGGTGGGGCAGGAGACCCACGCTCCCCTGGAGAAATTACCTAACATTGCCAGGAGTGAGGGCTGTCCCCCTGCGGGCCATAGGCCCCTCGGCACTATAAGAGCATCAGCCAGCCCGCCTGGCGTGGCTCAGTGGTTGAGTGTTGACCCATAAACCAAGAGGTCGCTGGTTCAATTCCTGGTCAGGGCACACGCCCGGGTTGCGGGCTTGATCCCCAGTGTGGGAGACAGCCAATCGATGTTTCTATCCCTCTCCCTTCCTCTCTCTCTCAAATCAATAAAAACATATTTTTTTAAAAAGAGCATCGGCCAGTCCCTAGTGGACATTGGGAGGCCTCTGTCAGACTTGGCCCAACCTGGCGTGGCCCCTCACACCCAGAAACGGTTGTGTTAGTGAGGCCTTTGGGAAGGAAGGGGGGGCTGACAGGTCCCTGCAGGCCCTCGGCTCAGAAGCTTTGCTCTGAGAAATTTCGGAGACCCCTCTCGGTGTCCCAGCCAGAACGCAGGCGGCCTCGATGCGAGGCCCCCGTGACCCCCCGTGACCGTGACCGTGTGTACCAGCACTGCCGCGAGGCCCTGCTGCTGGATTTGAGATGACCCATTTCTCGGCCCTCTTCGGCTCTCACACTAGTAAAGACACCACGGCAGCCCCGAGGCCAAGGCCATGATACAATGGGGTCAAGGTCTCAGGATCCCGCGTCCCCGCCACAAGCCTGGAGGGGCACTGGGGAATCCCTCCCCACCCTCGCCACCGAGACGGCCCCGCTGCCACCAGGGACTCCCGTGTGGAAGCCTTTGCTGACCAACTGCCTTTCTTGTGACCAGCCCTCCGTCCCGCTTGGCAGAGAGCAAGAGGCACGTAGGTGCCTGTCAGGAACCGTGGAGGAGCGAGTGCCGTCAGCCGAGCTGGGGCCTCTGGGTGCCCCCCTGGGTCCCCAGCACAGGCTCACTGTCCATCTCCCAGACAAGGAAGGAGGAGGGAGCCGCAGCCCTCAGTCAGCCCACAGGGAGGGCTGAAGCCCAGACTCACCCCCGTCCTGCTCTCCGTCCCGGCCCCTGGTCCCAGAGGCCTCGGCCTTGCTGCCGTGATGAGGCTCCTTTGGGCTTTCAGAGTGGACAGCCCAGGCGGAGACCACACCGATCTCCTCCCCCCACCGGCCCATCCCTCACCGCCTGCCCCCCCCCCCCCGCCCCTTCCAATGCAGACAGAGGCTAAAAATACCCTTTCGGCCCCACGTGGCCACTCAGCCCAGCAGGCCCTCCATGCCCCTCGGCCAGCTGGCCAGTCCTATTCTCGGCCGAGTCCTCCGCAACGGGGTGCAGGGGCCCACTGAGAGGTAGGTCCGGGGGCTCTGGAGCGGGCGGGCAGGAGGGGAGGGGGACTGGGAGATAGTGGGTTACGGTGGCAACGTCCGTGGGCTTGGCAATCACAGTGCTGGACACTTTGAGAGACTCCAGATCATGGTCAAGCCCGGCCCTCCAGGTGGGGTGGGGACTCAGACTTTCCTCTGTGCCCAGCAAGGGGGAGGCTGGACCACACCCCAACTGCAGCCAGGGCCACAGCGCCCCGCATTCGGCTGGAGCTGGATTAAGGCCCTTCCTTTGCTGCCCTGCCTGCTCAGCCCACCTCACCCCTGGCCCGGACAGGCACCGGTTGAGGCGCTGGGACCCTCCAGAAGCCCCACCCTGAGCTGTTACTGCCGGGTGGCAGGTGTCAGCAGACCATGCTCTGGCCCCACAGGAATGTTGGTTGGGCACTCCCGCCCCCGGGGCCCGTCATGGTAGCAGTGGGCCAAAGGAACCCAACAATGACAGGAATGCAAGGCCTGGGGACAGCGGCTGGCCCACTAATCTCCAGCTCACCCCCCTTCAGAGGGCAGAGCTGCCATCACCAGCCAGAGGGCCTCCCTGGGGGTTAGGGAGGGGATGGTATCAGGCAGGGCCCGCTGACCCGTCCTGTCCCGGCATGAGCCCAAGAAGGTGCTCAGGACCCCAGGTGGGTTCCCTGGGTCCGTCCCTGCTCTGTAGGATGGGGAGGGGCACCAGCGGGGAGGGGAGGGACCGTCAGCTCAGCAAGGCCTCCCCACCCCACAGGCCTGCATAGTTCCCAGCTTCTGTTTCTGGGGCTTTGTCCCCAGGGACGACGGCTGCGGAAGGCGCCCCCTGGTGGACAGACTGTTTCTCTGGGGTGCAGCTCCTTGCAGCTGTGGGTAACTCTGGAAGAAAGCCTCCATGCAAACTGTTTCCTTCTCTGGGGAGGCTTTCTTAGAGTTAAATATCAGAAGAACATAAATCAACATGCGCATAACTAAATAAGCCCAGAAGCGGATTTGCTGACTCGGACGAACACTGGGCTGTGACATCCCACTCCAGGAAGTTCACCTGGTTTTGTCTTTACCAATCTATACCCGAGACGGCGGGAACCTGGGGGTTCAGCAGGGGTTCCCCAGTCTGGCTCCCCCACTTCCTGCGGTGTGACCATAAACAAGTGCTACTCTGTGTCTCAGTTTCCTCATCTGTAAAAGGGATGCTAAGAGCATGCACCCCACAGGCAGGTCTGTGTGGCGAAGGCGTGAGCCACCCTTGGGATGTGGCCAAGCGCACGGGGGCCTGTCAGTGGGAGCTCCTGCAGGGACTGACCACACAAGCCCTCCACCATCAGCCTCTCCACCTGCAGATGAGGAAGCTGGGGCCAGAGACAGCCATGGCTCCCCCAGGACACCAGCAGGATCGTAGCCGGGCGAGGCTCCGTGTGACCAGGGAGGGCGGGGCAGGAAGCCTCTCCATGTCCCCAACGCCCTCCCCAGCCATGCGGTTCCGGAGCAGGGGAAGCCGCCAGGTGGAGGGTGGGAAGGGCTGGTGTGAATGAGACCACCCGCCCCAGCTCACCCGCTTCCTTCTCGCCCCAGGAGCTTCTTCCGGGGGCTGGCCGCGTTGGCTCCGCAGTCATGGTTCGGAACGTGGACGACCTGGACTTCCACCTGCCCTCGCACGCCCAGGACATGCTGGACGGGCTGCAGCGGCTGCGCTCTCAGCCCAAACTGGCCGACGTCACGCTGCTGGTGGGCGGCCGGGAGCTGCCTTGCCACCGCGGCCTCCTGGCGCTCAGCAGCCCCTACTTCCACGCCATGTTCGCAGGCGACTTTGCCGAGAGCTTCGCGGCCCGCGTGGAGCTGTGGGACGTGGAGGCTGCCGTGGTGGGGCAGCTGGTGGACTTCGTGTACACGGGCCGGCTGACCATCACCCAGGCCAACGTGGAGGCCCTGACACGCACGGCCGCGCGCCTCCACTTCCCCGCCGTGCAGAAGGTCTGCGGCCGGTACCTGCAGCAGCAGCTGGACGCCACCAACTGCCTGGGCATCTGTGAGTTCGGGGAGCAGCAGGGGCTGCTGGGCGTGGTGGCCAAGGCCTGGGCCTTCCTACGGGAGAACTTTGAGGCGGTGGCACAGGAGGACGAGTTCCTGCAGCTGTCCCAAGACCGGCTGGCCACCTGTCTGGCCAGCGACCTGCTGCAGGTGCAGCCAGAACAAAGCCGGCTGGAGGCCCTGCTGCGCTGGGTGCGCCACGACCCACAGGCCCGGGCCGCCCACCTGCCCGAGCTGCTCAGCTTGGTGCGCCTGGACGCCGTGCCCAGGCCCTGCGTGCAGCAGCTGCTGGCCACAGAGCCACTCATCCTGGAGTCGGAGGCGTGTCAAGCAGCCCTGTCCCAGGGCCATGATGGGGTGAGTGGGGAAGGGGGAGCAGGGAGGGGAAGCTCACACACTCCACCTGCATGGGGATGGAGAGTGTACCACGCACCCCCAAGTACAGATTGTGCCCATGGGTGTCAAATGTAAGGAGAAGGGGAGCAGGAACACAGGCAGGCATGGCAGCCGGCTACCACCTGCCCCCTAGGAAGCTGCTCGAGCTTTCATGGCTGCAATTTCCTATCCTGCTGGCAGTGGGGCTGGCAGGCAGGGCAGGTCCTGATGAAGTGACAGGCCAGGGTGTGGCTGGGACAGGGAGCCGACAAGTCCACCTGCTGCTTGCTCAGGCCTTGCTCCAGAGGATGTCTCAGCAACCAAGTCTGGAGACAAAACCGTGCTCAGGCCAGGGATGAGGTGTGAGGTGGCCCTGTACCGCCAGGCACAAAGGCCGCCCCGGGGTAGAGCCAGCTGGGGGCCCTGTCCCGTGAGGTAGTCGCCTTGTAATTGCTGGTGGAGGGAGGTTCGGGCAGCCATAGGAGGGGCCAGAGAGCCAGTGGAACCCTTAGATCCTGGGAGCTCTGGACAGTGGCTACTTACCAACTAGGGTGGGGCCATTTCAGCATTTCTCACCTGCCAGGGCTATCTGAGTTGGGTGTGCACATGGGGGCCCAGGAGAGCAGGGCTCCAGGTGCAGGGGGAGGCTTATCTGGGGGCTTGGGGACAGCCTGGGGTCAGTTCCAAAGGTGGGTGCAGGAACACCTCTGGCAGGTGCGTGGTGGCCACTGGAAGGAGAGCTGCTCTCACGCTCAGGTCACAGGGGCAGCTGCCCTACCTCTCGCTGTTCTGTGCTTTGATGCAGTCACCACACATATGGGCACACACACACACATGGGCACATGCACACAATGGGCACATGCACGGGCACACGCACATACATGGGCATGCACATGGGCACATGCACACATGGGCACATGCACACACATGGGCACATGCACACACATGGGCACATGCACACACATGTGCACGGGAACACACATGGGCACACACATGAGCACGCACATACATGGGCACACACACAGAGGCCTACACACTGAACCTTACTCACCCACACATGTGCACCAACACAGAAACACACCTGTGGACCCCTGTCCCCAAATGTCAAGGCTACTTACCTGCCTCAGAAAACACCGCCAAGGCCTGCCAACGCAGGGACAGCCGCCACCCTTCCCTCTGACTGCACCCTCCTGGCCCACAGGCACTGCCTGCCCTGCCCCAGCAGCTGGAGGAGGTCCTGGTGGTGGTGGGCGGCCGGGCCCTGGAGGAGGCTGAGGAGGGCGCCGAGGAGCCCGCCCCCCATCTCGAGAACTTCGCTTTCTACAACACCAAAGCCAGTGAGTACTCCAGCGTCCAGAGCTCCGCCTGCCACCGATAGGAGCCCTTGTGAGGTTCACAGACAACAGGCCCATGCTGGGCGTGCCTGGGCCTCGGCTGTGGGCGAGACTGGGGGAGGGGAAGCTGACAGTGGGGGGCACTGCAAGTCCCTCTCCCTTCGGCCAAAGCCCTTGGTTTTGTCTTTTAGGCCATGGGACCCCAATAAGGGGTTCTGCTGCCCAGACCACACGGTATGAGATGGGTGACCTGGCAGCTGCTTCCTCTTGGTGCCCTGTGCCTTCAGTGCCCCTGTGGCCTCAGGGTGGGGTGCAGGCAGCCTGGGGGGTGAGCACTCAGGTTCTGGATCTGCCCGAATGGGATTCTAATTGCAGCCTCTGAGCAGGTCACTTTACCTCCCTGGGTCTCGGTTTCCTCATCTGTGAAATGGGCTCCTTTGCACAGGGTCCAGCCCTGCCCTTTGGATGTGCCTCTCCTGAGGGGGGGTGGGGAGGGCACATTGGCCCAGGCAGATCTTTGGGCAACACTGATGCAGGCTGGCTGGTGTCCCGGGGCTGCTGGGCAGGTCCCCAGACACCCCCATGGCGTCAGTGGCTGGCGGGCTTGGGGCCGGCTGTCCCAGGTCAGGGGCTGACGAGAGGGGATTTCGGGCCTGACATCAGAAAATGAGCTCGGCTGGCTCAGCCCCGAAGCAGCTGTCCCTCGGATCCCACTGGGAGGGTGGCAGGGGGGATGCTGGCAGGCAAAGGCCTGGTGACTGACTCCTGGGCAATCCCCATGGGGTGGCACAGACATGAGTCAGGAGGGCACACAGCCCCTGCCCAGCAAGGCCCGAAGTTCTGCGTGTTCTGAAAACTGTTGTCAACAATAAACAGACTTTTCCAAGGGACATCCCCAAGGTTGTCTCTCCCACAGCCTTCTCTAAAAACCCAAAATGTGTCCACTTATAGGTCTTAAATATTCCCACCTTTATTGTCTCATCTTTATCTTCTCAAAGCAATCCTTGCCTCAGCTGACCTCATGTAGCTCCACGAAGGCAGGTCTGACTCAGGTGCCTTCCTCTGTCCTAAAAGCTACCTTTGGCTGAGCAGTGGCTGTGTGACAGACACACGGCATCTCATGTTGTCCCCCCATCCCTGGGAGCCGGGAATTATCCCCATTCCACAGATGAAGAAACTGAGGCCAGGCTTCCCCAGGCCACACAGCTGGTGCATGAGAGCTGGGTGTGGGCCACTCTGCCCAATGCAGGCCCACGTCTGGTCCCCTGCGTGCCCCGGCTCACGTGAGCACAGGAGGGGCTCAAGGCAAATGCGTGAGGAATTCGGGAATGAATGATGTTTCTGTTATAACCCACTAGCGACTAGAGAACAGGCCCTTTAACCCATCACCCCTCTGACTGAGGTGGGACCAGACCAAAAGGTCCATTTGGGGTCAGTGGGGTCAACTGCAGGGTCGTGTGAGAGCAGCGTCTGGAGCCTGGCCGCCTCTCGGCTCACCCTGGGGCCGTGCTGTGACTGTCTGGGTGCCAGGCTCCAGGGGCCACCAGGAGCCGGGCCTGGCAATGCACATGGAGCACCAGGGCCGCCTCGGACCCCACCCCCTGGGGTGGCCCCCACTTCTGCGGCAGCGGAGACCCCCTTACCGTTTTGCTGGTGAGGGGATGACTCTGCGCCAGGGAGCAGAGGAGGTGTGAGGGGCGGAGGCATGCTGACCCTGCCTCTCCTCCTGCCAGAGAGGTGGACGCCGCTCCCAGACTTCCCCGACTTCCACAAGTGGGGCTTCTCCCTGGCTGCGCTGAACAACAGCGTCTACGTCACAGGTGGGCAGACGGGGCCCCCCTTCGCTTGGTGGGATCCCACGGTTTAGTCAAGACTCTTCCAGAGCTTTTCATGGGGTGAAAACAAGGGCATTTTAGGGCCACACGTGGGTGCAGGGAACAGTCCCTGCCTGACGCGCACCCCAGGTGGCCTTGCCATGCTCCGCAGCCGGGTCCTCCCAAGACGGCACCGTGTGATGGGAAGGGGTCACTGCCTCTCATATCGCAGAGCTTCCAGGGTGGGGGGTTGAACCACTGATCTTGCGCCCGTTTGTGGAGCAGGAGGGACCTGCCCGAGCCACCCAGCTAGCTGTGCCGCCATGGTCCCACCCAGCCCGGGGTCTGGCAGCACGGAGGCCTGGCCTGGGGAGAAGGGAGCAGGACCCTGGATGCCCAGTTTCCACGGGCTCAGAGACCCCAGGCTGACGGGCACCTAAGGGACAGAACCTCTCCTGGCAGGTGGCTCTCGGGGCACCAAGACAGACACCTGGTCAACCACCCAGGCCTGGTGCTTCCCCATGAAGGAGGCAGCCTGGAGGCCGGTGGCGCCCATGCTGAAGGCCCGCACAAACCACGCCAGCTCGGCGCTCAACGGGGAGATCTACGTCATCGGTGGTAAGGCTGCCCGTCCCATCGCCCCAGGCTGCCTCCTGCTCCTCTGAGCCCCTCCCCACCTCTCTGCAGCCTGGTGGCCTCTCAATCCTGCAACAATGGCTCCCCACCCCCATGCCCTCACCTGGGACCAGAGAGCCCCCATGCTGGCCCCAGGGACGACAAGGGCACTGCCCCGCTCCTGCCTCAGGAGCTCACCGTCTGGGGTAAACAGGACCCACGCCAGGGCTTCCGGGCAGGCTGGGCAGCAGAATTCCCCCTGGGCTGTGCCACTGGACATCCTGGAATGAGGCTCAGGCCTGCGGTAGCCAGCGCCGGGTGACTCTGATGCACTCCAGGGACCCAGGAAACAGGATGAGTCAGTCCCCAGAAGGAGACCCTTGAAGGGCTGGCCTCCAGCTGCCAGCAGAGAGAGCTACTCCCATCCCAGAACCTCAGGTCGGGGTCCCCTCCCCAGTACGGGGATCCACAATGGGTCCCTTTGCTGTCTGTCACCTTTGCCCCACCAGGCCCAGCCCGAGGATGGGCACCCACCTTAACTCCTTCCTACCAGAGCCCCCTCAGAGTCACCCCGGAGACACGTGTGGTTGGATGAATATTGAAAAACAAAATGCATTTGTTGAGCAAGTTTCCCAAGGCCTCTGTAGGGGACCCACTGGCCCCGAGGCCACTCCGAATTCCTCCTGTGCTGGCCAGCCCCTCGTCCCTCAGAGCCTGTCATGCTCAGCCCAAGAGCAAAGGGCATGCACAGGTCCGGAGCCCCAGGAACTCGGGGTCCCCAGGCTGGCCCTGCCACCCAGTGCAGAGCCCAGTCATCACCACCCCCAGGCTCTGCGGGGCTGGGGTGGGGGCTACCTACAGCCCCCACGATGAGAGGCCTGGGGGCCAGCCTCCTGGGGGCTCCCACCAGCACCTCTCCACTGTGCCGGGCTCTGAGGGGTCGGGAGTGGCTGGGCTTTACTGCGAGGCCCCGTTACCATCCTGGAGGTAGGAATTCCTGCCTACGGGTGCCCACCTCCCATGCCACTTCTTGGTCATGTGGCCTTGGGCAGGTGCCCTCACCTCTCGGACCTCACTTCCCTCTGAGATGGAGGAAAGGCATCTGTCTATGAGGCCATGCTTCCCACTCCCCTCCCCTCCTGGGGCACGCAGGGCGGTCCCTGCCTCTCTACAAAGCCCAAGCCCTGCATTTCCGGGAACCTGCCCTTGGCCCCGCCCCCTGCAGCCCTGTCCCGCCCTCACAGGCACCACCCTGGACGTAGTGGAGGTGGAGAGCTACGACCCCTACACAGACACCTGGACACCTGTCAGCCCGGCCCTGAAGTACGTCAGTAACTTCTCCGCGGCCAGCTGCCAGGGCCGGCTCTACCTGGTGGGCTCCAGCGCCTGCAAGTACAACGCACTGGCCCTGCAGTGCTACAACCCCGTCACAGGTGGGGAACCAGCGAACACGTGGGGCCCAGGGGGGAAACGAGGGGTCACCTGCACAGAGCAACAGCCCCACCCAACTAGCGGCCAGGGGGGCTGGAGGCAGAGTGGCCAGGGCAGTGACAGGGACGCCCAGCCCCAGATCTGGGAAGCTGTCTGGTGGCTGTATCTGCCTGGAACTGGCCTCATGGGCCGGAGCAGTGGCCTGGACCCACCAGGCCCAGTGGCAGCAGCTCGGTCTCTGCGCTTTGGGACAGAGTTTGGCTCCAGCTGGGCCGTCTCTGGCTCAGTGGCCCTTCCCGCCCAATCTCTCACCCCCTGTTCTGTCCCCTGGACAGTGGACATGTTCTAGGACCCATTCTGCAGGGTGGGTGTGAGGGTCCCACAAGAGATCAGCTGGACCCAGGGTCAGGTGGGACCCCAGGCTCCCAGACCAAGGAGACGGGGAAAGAGGGAGGAGAGGCCCAGGGTGCCGGTGAGGGTGGGGTGGCCGCCAGACCAAGGCCCTGCTCAGGACCTGAGGATGAGGCTCTGAGGGCCTCCTGCCCCTGAGCCCCTCCCGCAAGCCCCCCACACCCCTCCACCTGTCCAGAGAAAGTGAGGTGCGAGCAGTGGGCTCGGGTCTGTGGACCCCACCTCCCATGCACGGGCTCACTCGCCAGCTCAGAGGGGGTGCTGACTTGGAGGAGCCTCAGACCCTGTGTCCCCACAGAAGCCTGGAGTATGATCGCCTCGCCCTTCCTCCCCAAGTACCTGTCTTCGCCTCGCTGTGCGGCTCTGCAGGGGGCGCTCTACCTGGTCGGTGACAACACCAAGAAGGTCTACGTGTACGACCCCGGGGCCAACCTGTGGCAGAAGGTGGGCCTCAGCCTTGCCTCCCAGTGTGACCCCCACCCCCCAGAACCCGGACACCACAGAGAGCAGGCCTGTGGACAGCGGGACCTGGGGGTGTCCCCACAGGGGAGGACAGTGAAGGGGAGATGAGACCCAGCGCCTGGGCTGAGACCGTGAGATGGGAGAGCCAAGGACAGGGGGTGGGGAGGAGTACTGGTCACTCTGAGTGCTCTGACCCCAGCATGGGGCGGCCTGTCCTCCTTGTTGGGCGCAAAACCAGGCTCAGCCAGAAGTGCTTCTGCCACACTGAGGGCCAGGCCCAAGAGGGGGGGAGTCTCCGTCCACAGAGGTAGTCAAGCCAGGGTGCAGATTCCTGAGCGGTGGGTGGGTGGGAGCAGCCAGCTTCTTAGCACCCCCTTCTCTTCTGCCACTGGCCCAGGGCAGGGAGTGGGAAATGGGCATCTGGAGACTCACCCTTGGGGGCACCAGAGCCCTGACCCTTCTCCTGTTTCTTCTGGAGAAGGAGGGCAGTGCCCGGAGCCCGCCGTGGCCTCAGCACTAGTCAGTGCTGGGCCCTCCACCTGCCCTGAGATCCCCAGTCCCTGGAGCCCCAGGAGGTGGCTCTGCTTCCTGCAGCCGCCCCAGGCCTGGCCACACAGGGCCTCCGCGATCCCACTGCCCACAGCTGTCCCCTGGCGTCAGTGCTCAGCTGACCAGAGGCCCCATTACAGTGGCACAGCAGGTGCAGGGCACACGCTGCCAGGCAGGGCTTTCTTCCCGGGTCCGCTCAACTGGGCCTCGGCTCACGCCACTGCTCTGGGCAGGGCCCCGGCCATGTAGTGGCACTTGCCCTCTCCAGGCCCGAGGTGGGTAGCGGGGCGGGGGGGGGGGGGCGGGGGGAGAGAATAACCACCCATCACTGCCTTCAGGGGCAGGCCACAGACAAACCTCTCCTTACTGCCATCCGGGCTCTTCCAGGAGCGCCCACATCTCTCTTGGATCTTAGGCGCCTGCTGGCCCTGACCCACACCCCTACCCAGGACACTCCTGAAGCCATGGGCCAAGGCCAGGTGTGCAGGGGCCAAGTGAAGGGCCCATGGAGCACGTGGCCCCACACATGTGTCTGAGGCTGAGGCCACATCTGTCCCCTTCAAGAGAGCAGCTGAGAATCAGAGTCTCAGCCCAGACCTCACCCTGGAGGCAGCTCCAGGCTCAGGACTCCCCGCCCCCTCACCCCAGCTTCCAGAAATTAGCAGATTTGGGCCCCGGGGAGCACTAGGGGGCTGGAAACATCACCCTGGGCTGGGAGCCGGAGGGAGGCGGGTAGTGGGGACTCCCCACAGAAGGAGCTGGAGGGGAAAGAGCGTCACAGGGAGCCAGAGTGACATCCCAGGTCCCAGGTGTGCTGATGTCCTGGGCGGGACGTTGGGCGGGGTGCTGACATCCTCTCTGCACATCCCCTGGTCACCACACTCTGGCCACCCACTGGACACTGACCACTGACCACCCACAGGTGCAGTCCCTGCATAGCCTGCACGAGAATGGCGCGCTGGTGCCGCTGGGTGATGCACTGTACTTGACGGGGGGCCGCTGGCAGGGCATGGATGGTGACTACCATGTGGAGATGGAGGCCTACGACCCTAGGAGGGACGCCTGGATCCGCCACGGCGCCCTGCCCCGCCTCTGGCTCTACCACTGCGCCTCCACCGTCTTCCTGGACGTCTCCAAGTGGACCCAGCCCTTCAGCCCCATCCAGGAGCACTGAGCGGCTCCCCGGCACCCCCAGAGGCAGCCAGCTGACCCCCATGGGAGCACCCCGTTTAGTTTTGCTTGTTTGTTCACTCAGCGGGGGCTGGACTCAGGGCACCAGGGACATCAGAGGGACATGGTTTTGGTCTCCGCGGCCACCACACCAACTCTGAGCTAACCCATGGCCCCGGCTGGGACTCTGATGCCCAAAGAGAAGGAGAAGCAGCTCCCTGGCCCACAGGGGTGTCTGAGACCTCAGAGGAAGGAGCAAGGGTCCGGGAAGCATTGAGAACTCAATGGGCTGGCCCTGGAGAGGAAGGTGCACAAACGAGGGGTGACACAGAGTGGCCCGGGCGCTGGAGCCGCTGGGGAGGGTGGGCAGCCTGGCCCCCAGCTGTGTGACCACGGCCAGCAGCTCCAGCTCCAGGGCCCACTGGCAGCTCAGGTGGCTGCTGGCTTGCCCCCCCATCCACTTCTCGGCCTCTGCTTGTTGGCACCTGTTTCCCAAAGGCTGCTTCTGAGGACAAAGGAGGACCCCGCTCAGTTTTTCTGTGCTGCGCCCCTGGGAGGGCAGCACCTACTCAGGCACTGGAGGAAGGAGTCGTGTGCGGGGGACAGGAGAGGGGGTCCTCTACCTGCACAGGGGCTCCGGGGAGGTCAGCAAAGCCTTCTCAGGGGTGAGCAGGAGGGGTGCTCTCTGGCCAGGATTTCTATTTCTTGGGGTGGTTTGCATCCAAAGGCTCTTCCTCAGAATGGAAGTCCCCAGCAGGAGGCCATGTGGGGTGGGATGCAGGGAGTGGGGCCGGGGGCAGGGATCCTGTGGGGACGTCTGGGGAGCCTCTCGGCACATTTGTGGCCTGCTGCCTGCCAGCCTCCTGAGCAAGGCAGCGCCCGGCGGGCTCCTACTGCCAGCAAATAGCAGAGCTCAGGTGGTCAGGTCCCTGCTCCCTCTTATCCTGAATGAGGCCTGTCACCAAGGGGACAGTGAAGGGCTCTCACTGGGTGCTGAGTAGCCCTCCAGCTTCGTTACTGGCTCTGTCAGGGTCACAGGCCTGCAGGTCTGGGTCCTGGGCCCAGCTTGCTCCAGCCCCAGACAGCCTAGCCGAGGCCCTGGTAGTTCCAGCATCTCTCCCTCTGGCCTGGGGTTCCTCTCCAGGGCCAACCCATGGGCTCCTCCTTGAACCCCACCGGGGACCAGAGGTGCCCCCAGCATCCTGGTTCTGAGGGAGGGTCCCTGGGCCCCCAGCTTCAAGGATCAGACCCACTTTGCTCCCAGACCTGACTTCTCATGCCCATTTCTTGCGGTGAATGAGTTTGCCCTCAGGCCCCAGACACCAAGGGGCCTCCTGGGAGTCTGCTCCCAAAGGAACACCAGCCCCAGACCCAGGACCCCTATTCAGCTGGCAGTGTGGGTGAAAATGAGGGTGAAGGTTTCTGGGACCCTGGAATCTCTCTGTATGAAAATTCTGTGAAACATTTTCTAGTTATTGAAGGTGCTCAGCCAAGCGCTGTTTCAAAACAAAGACTCAGAGGTCGAAATGGACTTGCTTTGATCACAAACGGGTCTGTGAAGGGCTGGTGTCCTGGAATTGGACTTGCTTTCTGCTCCTGCACATCCTCAGCAATGGGGACAATACCCGGGGTGGGAGCCCTCTTCTGATTGGCTGAGCTGCCCTTATTTGGGGGCTGGATCAGACCAATTATGTCCTTCAGGGTCCCTGGGGGAAACATGTGACGCCTCAAATTGACCAATGGGAGAGGGTTAATGAAGGGCAAGAGCTGGAAAGCCTCCCAGGCTAGCGGAGCTGTCACCACCCTCTGCCCCAGGCACAAGGGCAGAGAGGGCTGCCAGGAGCTGGGCCTTTGCTAAAGGAACGCACCACTGCCCACTGCCACCTGCAGCCCAGCGGGAGGAAGAGGCAAAATAGGGACCCAACCTCACTCTCATGTTTGCCCCCCAGTCTCTCCATAGCGCCTCCCCGACCAAACCCAACCAGAATCAGAGGGAAGACAGGCCACTGACACTGTGCGTAGCGGCCAGCAGGCGGGGGAGGGTGGCCAGGGTGCCTCGGGCCGTGGAAGCTTTGTAACATACCACCACACCCTCACAAGGTGCTCGTGTGACGGGACAGGTGTGATTCACACAAGGAGCACCACAGAGCAGGCCAAGCCATCCTCTTCCCGTATCAAAGTCCTAGGGATGCAAGGTTTGGGGCTACTGCGGACTTCCAGAAAGGCGGGTGGACAACCTTGGAACACGTGCAAAAGCCCACCAAATTCTCAGGCCCACGAGGGTGAGGCGGGGAAACCACCTCCCCAGCACCAGGGTGCTCATGTCCGCCAGGTGCGTGCGTGCTGTCTTTCCCACAGACAACGTTGGGTAAACTGAGGCACCACCACCCGCCCAGCAGACCCCAATCTTCAGTGACCACACGATGTCCTCCGTAGCCAGGCTCAGCATAGCCTCCTTGGGCTCAGCTCCCTTAAGGTCCCAGTGAGTCAGGGCCTGGGGATGTTTCCAACCACTTCCATCTGACTTGGGTTTTCTAGGACATCCCAGACAGGACCCTTTTACTGAGCACCTTCCCTGGACTAGGCAGGGACAGTGATTGCTAGAATCAGGCAGTTGACCCTCCCATGAAAATGTTTGTAATTAAATGAACTGGTCACATGACAGTTCGCTGTAGTCAATTTCAAGCACTGCTCCACTTGGTAGATCAACCAGTTGGCCCAGTGGAAACTGACTACAACAGGTTCTTTTTAAAAAAAATTCTTTTCATTGATTTCAGAGAGGAATGAAGAGAGAGAGAGAGAGAGAAACATCCATGATGAGAGAGAATCACATGCCGAAGCTGGTTTGGCTCAGTGGATAGAGCGTCGGCCTGCGGACTGGAGGGTCCCGGGTTCGATTCCGGTCAGGGGCATGTACCTGGGTTGCGGGCACGTCCCCGGTGGGGGATGTGCAGGAGGCAGCTGATCGATGTTTCTCTCTCATCGATGTTTCTAGCTCTCTATCTCTCTCCCTTCCTCTCTGTAAAAAATCAATAAAATATATTTTAAAAAAAAAGAGAGAGAGAATCACAGATCAGCCTCCTGCACACCCCCTGCTGGGGACCCAGCCTGCAATCAGGGCATATACCCTGACCAGGAATCAAACCATGATCTCCTGGTTCATAGGTCACCACTCAACCATTGAGCCACACCAGCCGGGCAGCAGGTTTTGAATAAGGTTTCATTCAGTGTCATTCCGTTACAGTGTTGATGAGATGCCGTGCGAACTTGCCTCTTGTCTATGTTAGTGAAGTCCTGGAACCTGCCAGAGACGTTAGGTGAGGGATGACGGTACTGACCTGGAACCTGTGAGCGGATCCTGAGTGGGTGGTCCGAGCCACAGACGAGGTGAGGATGCTCCCGCTCCCGGGCTGTGTCACTCATCATCGCTCCCAGTGCGGGACACTCGCCTGAAGCAAAGCGTGGCTGCTGTGGATTCTCCTGAGCCCCAGCACCAGGCACAGAAGGGCGGCCAGGCATGAAGCTGATGAGTGAAGCATGACATGGACTGTGGTGAGGCCTTCGTGGAGCAAGTTCTTCCCTGTGTGGAATGAACACCAGGAGCCCCCAGGGCTTCTCAGGACCAGGGGCTGGAGTGATTTTGGTCACGGCCAACTTGGGCTCAGTTCCCTTTGGTTCCCAGGTGAGCCACGATCACATTTAAGAATTTGATTCTTGCCCAGCTGGTGTGGCTCAGGGGTTGAGCATCAACCTATGAACCAGGAGGTCATGGTTTGATTCCCAGTCAGGGCACATGCCTGGGTTGCCAGCTCAATCCTCAGTAGGGGGCATACAGGAGGCAGCCTATCAATGATTCTTTATCATCATTGGTGTTTCTCTCTCTCTCTCTCTCTCTCTCTCTCTCTCTCTCTCTCTCTGAAATCAATAAAAATATATTTTTTAAATATTACTCATTCTCTGATAATTAAAAAATAATAATAATTTGATTCTTGCCAAATAGGTAAATATAGTCATGGATATCTACCCTTTTGCATTAAATTGAAAGGTGAACTAAAGTGTAATTTTTTAAATTAATCTATTAGAAGCAGGATAATGTTACCGGTGAGACAATGAGACCTCATTTCCTGTCCTGAAGGAAAGATTTCAGTCAAGAGACAAAGTGCAGCAAAGGAAGGAAGAAGTTATTGCCGCAGCAAACGCACACTTAGGTGGAACGTTTATGAAAGCTGGGGAAGGGAAACAAGGACGGGTCTAGCATAGAAGAAGCCACAAGAGAGCCTGGCCGGGCTGCTTTGGCCCCTGGGAGGTCAGAGGAAAGAGGGGCTGGGAGACAGGTTGGGGATAATCCTGGGGTGAGCTGCCGATGCCCATTGCTCCCCTGGTTGCAGGTCTCATGGGGTCCCGTCCAGGGATGAAGGGGGAAGGGAGAGGCACGGGCGTGCTCCCCTGGCACAGAGGGTATTTATCTCTCTTGCAGGTGGGAATCTTAGGGGAGGTCTCAGGGGAGGGTCTCAATACAATATTCATCAGCTTCCCAGGTGTGTCCTTACAGGGTCATGGTCTCCTCTGATCGATCAGCCCCCAGGGCAGGGGATCATCAGTCAATGCTGGTCCTGAGGCAGCCAAGGTGTAGCTTGTCTGGTTTTGCTGCTTTTCCTGTCCTGGAGCTGAAATACAGCTGAGGCCTAGGTGTTATTCTAGGGAGGAAAGGGTCAGGGTCTAAACCGCATGCTGGGGGAGGGAAGGTTACCTGGGGACGAGGTTCTTGTTTTCCCAGTCTTGCCCCTTACTAGGCACCTGGGGCTTTCTGCCCTGGTGACCTTCTCGGTTCATTGTCCTTACTCAGTCCATATCAATCTAACTGCCTATCACAATAACATTTGCAGAAAATAACCCAAGGGACACACTAGGCAGAAGTGGAAAAAGTAAGCGTGCCTGAGGACCTGTCCGGCAGGGGCTGGCTCCTAGCAGCTGACCTTGCACCTGACAACAGCGGGAACTGAGTCAAAGTGCACTGACTTAGCTGAGTCTGGATTAGCTGAGTCTGACCTCAAGGTGTGGGGGCCGGACCTGGACGAGGTTTCACTGGGTGGCGTTGGGACCTTGGACCAGTGCAGACTTGAGCCTCGGTGTCCTCATCTGAGCAAGGGGGACACTCACATGATCTGAGAATTAGATGATGTCACCTGTGGGGAGGGCTCTGGCAAACAGCAATGGTCGGCTGCCTGGACACCAGGAGGGAGGCCACACAACAAGTCGGCTTCAGGCTCCCACCATTTGGGGGCAAAGGGAGCTTTTATTCCCATGACTTCACCCACAAAGGTCCTCCCTTGGAGGAAGAAAGGAGAGCGGAAACAGCTTGACTGCGTCAGGCCGCAGGGCCGCCAGGGCTGAGGCCGTGACATGAGGCCAAGAATGAGGATTAGGTTTCAGCCAGGCACGAAGGCATGTGGGGGAGGCCCCTCGCTCAGCACCCCCGCCTTGGGATCTGTTCATCCCCCGTGTTGCCCCCACTGTGGCCCCGTGGGCTGCTGTGGGGAGGGGCATCTAGTGCCATTGAAATCCTGTTTCGGGGGTCATCTGGTTGGGTGATTCTTTGCTAAGCCCTAGCCTCCTCTGACAGGCGTGGTTTTAGATACATGACCCCAGAAACACACAGAGGCCCACCTGGAGGCCCCCGCCCTCCGAACTCTCCTGCCCCGGGCCAGGCTGTGTCGTCACCTCAGATAGTGTTACAGGCGCTGCCCAGCACCAGAACCAATTTGATTTGGGTCCTCCGTAGGCCTGTGACATCACCAGGATTGTTCACTGTTTGGGAAAATCTCTGTTTTCACATGGCAACGGCTCCGGTCCTCAGTGCCGCCTTCAGGCAGCCACAGCCCCCCACTGTCAGGTGGAAATGATGTCACACAAACATCTTGAGGATCACATGTGCCTCAAATTGGGTCTCTCTGTCCCCACACATTTCCGGTGTCACCAAGGGGGCAGAGTCTGAGCCTAACCTTCCCAGGGTGCAGGTTAGCCCAAATGGCATCTGACCCCGAGAGCAGCGTGCCTCGTGCCCCTGTGGCCAGAATCCCAGAAGCGGCTCCCCAAGCATCCGGCCTCCGTGCTGGGGGTGAGTATTGCCACCTCCTTCCTCCTGGCCTTGGCTGTGTCAGCTCACACCTCATTTATGAGTGGTCCCCAGACAAGGGTTCCGGACCACCAGCTATTATCATGCCCACTTTACAGACCAGCAAATTGAGTCTGGGAGGGCCTACATGTGCCTCCTCAAAGCCACACACAACCTTTGCTCCAGATGGCCATGCAAGGATCCGGCTTGCTGAACAGACGCACAGCTGGGTCTGGCCTCGGCTCAGAACATGCTCTGCCATGGCCCCCATGGCCTGGACCCTGTGTGAAGACACCCCCGTGACGTGGTGCTGACGGCCTAGCCCAGGGACCTGCACCGCTCAGCAGCCCAGAAGCCACGCAGGCCTCACTCATGGCCCCACACAGCACCCACCGTGAACCCAGCTCACCCGAGAGCAGGCCCGAGGGCTCGTGTGCATCAACCCTAGCTCTCGGCAGGGAGACCGAGACTCCAAGGAGCTCCCCGAGAGGCCGGCCACGAGCAGAGCCCCTTTCCTCTGCCACGCTAGGCTGCTCGAGTGGAGTCCCACCCCTCCCAGCGGGGGGAGGCTCTGGGTTTAAGAATGGCCAGGCACACGTGTTTTCCCAGCTGCCCGCAGAAGGAAATCCCAAACATGGGGCACCTGCTTCTTAGGGAAAAGGCAGGGCCATATTTTCTCAATAACCTTTGAGCTGCCCTGGCCTGGGTGGCCCAGTTGGTTGGGCATCACTGTGCACCGAAAAGTTGCCAGTTCGATTCCTGCTCAGAGTTGTGGGCTCAATCCCCAGGAGGGTGTGTGCAGAGGCAGCCAATTATTATATCTCTCTCACATCAATGTTTCTTTCTCTTCCTCTCCCTTCCTCTCTCTCTAAAAATCAATAAAAATTTTTTAAAATAAATGAATAACTTTGCCTGGCTGGTATGGCTCAGTGGTTGAGCATCGACCTATGAACCAAGAGGTCACAGTTCGATCCCTGTCCAGGGCACATGCCCAGGTTGTGTGCTTGAGCCCCAAGAGGGGGTGTGCAGGAGGCAGCCCATCAAATATTCTCTCTCATCATTGATGTTCCTATCTCTCTCACTCTCCCTGCATCTCTGAAATGAATAAGAATATACTTAAAAATAAAAATAAATACAAAATAAATACCTTCGAGCTGATCCTCTAGCTCATATCTCACACCAGCTGGAATAGGAAGGGCCCTAAAGGGCAGACTGCGTGTCTGTGAAGATGTGGCCATGGCCTTGGTCTGAGCCCAGGCTGTGTGTCCCTGGACGAGCCCCCACCTCCCTGGGCTCATCCCTGGGGCCTGTGAAAAGGGATGAGGTGCTGGGTGTGGCCCTTCCCAGAGCAGCATCTCCTGGGCGAAGGAGCCCCACTCTCCCGGACCATTGCAGGTTTCAGCCAAGAGAATCCCACCCTCAGTGACCTCTGGTCCCAGATAAAGTCTCCCCAAATGAAGGAAAGTGAACAAAATGTTAATACTCAACACAGAAGCACATGCCCCACACACACAAACACGTCATTACACGTCCAACACCAGGCTTCCCGACAGCCTTCCTCGTGCGGCCGGAAACGAGAAGCCACCAAGGAATCCTTCCTGTTTGGAGGGCTTTCCACCGACACCCTCTGAAGACTTGGGAGCAAATGTCCTGATTGTCATCAAACTGCTGAATGTGTGCGGGTGAAGTGAGTGCACAGACTGTGTCAAGTAAAAGTTACACAAGC